TGATTCCTTAGTTCCAGCTCAGTTACCTCGTGTTGGATCCTTATGACGAATACATGCACAACCGAATATTGTCAATCCAGCCATTGTAGCCGGCTGCCGTATAGTTACATCGGCGACAGTGGCAACAGTACCGAACACACTCAGGTTCGGCTTTGCTCGCTACACTCCGGTACAAGTACCTCGTATTGGATCCTTATGACGAATATATACACAACCGAATATTGTCAATCCTATTGATTTATAAGGTGTCTATCTAATGAAAGGAGTGGTCTATTGGTCGGTAATTGATGATCTATTATCTTACGAGTTATCTATCTATCTTTATCGTACGAAAGAAGCAAGTTGTTCGCCCGAGGACTTGTGCATACAGGAAAATGGGTGCCGACACATGAATCACCACCAAAACACTAGGAAATATCAAGGAGAGATGAATCCGGTAGGAAGATCCACACTCTTGTGTGTTGTTGTCTCCTCGCTCGTCCTGTCGCCTTTTCAATGACTCGACGACAATCTCCTCCGTTCAGGTTGGTCATAGGGCTTGAGTTAATAGTCTCCTCCATTCGGTAGCTAGTGGTAGCCTCTTCCTCCTCCTCTTGTTGTTATCCGGAGCGATCGATCGTTGACAAAGGTGTTTCATCGGCCGTCAGCAGTAAGAGAATAGAAAGTAAGAAATAGATATGGTTTTCTCTTCTATTCTGATACTGCAGACGACCGGCGACTTACCCTTGTTTTCCAACTTGCACCAACTTGGCCGTCAGGGGCCGAGGACTGACTGCCATCCCATGGTCCATAGGATTCAATGAGGGATGGCTTTTCAATCTACACCGGAGAAGGTCGGTTTGAGTGAGGCTTGGATAAAAGAGGTGCGACCGATTCGATTCGAATAATTAAATCAACTCACCTGTTGACGGCCGAGCTTGGAATTCTCTCCTGTTTACCATAAGAATGCAATGAGGGAGAGAAGTCAGTGCTGCAACTTCAATTAACACTCTTGATAATAGGCTTACCTCGAATCGAATCGATCGAACGATCCTCCTACCGGTACCTCCTACTGATATACCACTGTTGTCGGCCAAGCTTGGATTTACCTCCTGTTTGCCTTACAAATTCAATGAGGGAGAGAAGTCAGTGCTGCGCCTTCAATAATGGACTTGCGACGAAACAGAGGTGCGAGGATACTAGCGGTACCTGGTGGTAGTAGATTGAGGCAGTACGAGTACCGGTACTGTTTAACTTTAACCTTTGTAACTTCAACTGTTCTTTTTATCCACGAATCGATCTAAATCTTTCGAAAGGAAACCTGTTACTCAATGATACACATGATGGTAAGGGCACACACACGTGTACAGACGTTAAATAACGTTAAGTACAGGTTTGGTACTTACGGATACACATGACCGTTGATTCTGCAACTGACTTGCCGCTAGTACTCTTTTTTCCACAGTAAACACGGGCAAATCGATTTGGGAGTGCAACTGAGGGGGTAACCAAAAGGAGCGTCGTCTCCAGGAGACGTAATACCAAAAAAGGGGGTGAGGGCTCAGGCAGATAGACTGCCGAGGTAAAGCTCCTGACACCTGCACCTGCACCCAAATCGGACCGTGCCGTGCCGTGCCGTGCCAATGGAGATGGAGACTACTATGAGTTCAAAGATATTCATTGATTCTACTAATAACAGAGCGTACAGGGTCTGGAGACAAGTGACAAGTTGTTGTGCGGACGTCCCTTCGCATGGTTAGGTAAGAATGTGAAATTCCCTCCTGGGCTCAGTCAGATTTCTTGCCATCCTTTGCATTGGTCTGAAATTCCACGATGGAAGCTGCAATGTCGTCATTGACATGTTTGACCTCGTGAATTTGAACGCACTTCTGACAGGTAGCAATGTCCGCTTCCAACGACAGGTGAGCAAGTATCTTTTGAAAGGTTGGAACAGCGTCGTGGACGAGATCGTGGAAATCAACAGCCAGGATGGCATTGCTCTTTGAAGCTTCCAAGTTTCTGACGGCTGCAAGCATGGGGTTGGAGTAATGTTCGTAGCTCTGACGCATAAAGGACTGGAAATCTTTGTCCTCAAGGGATGCACCGGATGCAATGGCATAAAGCTGGATCCAAGACTTCATCGCATCCTTTTCCTCACGAACGCACAAAATGTACTTGGAATCTTCTGTCCAGAAGAGCAGCTGACAACAGGTCAAAGTGCGAGGTAAAGGAAAGAGGACGCCCCCACGTAGCGCCTCTTCTTTCTTGCAAGGTACAGATTAGAACACAGACAGTGTCGCCGGCGCAAACGGACAGATAACGTTCGACCGAAACATCTCAGTTTAACCTCAACCTTTTCGACTACACCCGAACCTTTAATGCTTTGGAGAGTACTCTTTTTTCACAGTCATGAATTCAAACAGTTGGGCTTTCTCTCATTTTAAAAATTCCTCCTCCACCAAAACCACACAATGGCGTCTATCGACAGTTTAGAGGGATCTCGCTCCTCCTGCTACTAGCTATTACGGGTATGTCTAATATCAAGTGTGTTATTATTGAAGGTGCAGCACTAACATCTCTCCCTCATTGAATTCCTATTGTAAACAGGAGAGAAATGCAAGCTTGACCGGCAACAATGGTGAGTGCTTTATCTAATCGGCCGATCGATCGAATCGATCGCAATGAGGTAAGCATACAATATTATCAAGAGTGTTAATTGAAGGTACAGCACTGACTTCTCTCCCTCATTGGATTTCTATGGTATTCAGGAGAGAATTCCAAGCTCGGCCGTCAACAGGGTGAGTTGTTTTAATAATTCGAATCGAATCGCACCTTTTCTATCAAACTTCACTCAAGCCGACCTTCTCCGGTGCAGATGTGAAAGCCATCCCTCATTCAATCATATGGACCATGGGATGGCAGTCAGTTCTCGGCCCATGACGGCCAAGTTGGTGCAATTTGAAAAACAAAGGTAAGTCTCCGGTCATCTGCAGTTGAGCACAGAAAACAAAACTCATATCTATTTGTTGTTTTCTCTGCTTTACTGCTGACGGCCGATGAACTACCATTGCGTCGAGTCCTTTTCGAACGATCGGTCGATCTGGAATTCAGGAAGAGGAGAGGCTACTGCTACCGGTACGGAGAATACTGTTAACTCAAGCCCTATCACAATCCTGCAAGCGTCGTCGAGTCATTGAATGGCAACAAGAGGAGGCTACACGACAACACTCACACGCACAGAGGAGAGTGGATCCTACTACTGGATTCATCCCTCCAGTGTTATTTCCTAGTGATTTGGTGGTGATTCCTGTGTCGGCACCCATTTTCCTGCATGCACAAGTCCTCGAGTGACTTGCGGTGGCTCCTCTTTCGTACGATAGATGTAACTAGACTAGTAAGATAATAGAACATTGATTGCCAACCAAATAGACCATACCCATTTTATTAGATAGACACCTTCTCGATCAGTAGCAGAGCTATGCTCTATATAAATATTGGTTATACAAACGAAAACGACTAGCTAGGTATTGGTTGCATAAACGAAAACCCGTGGATAGGTTTTGGTTGGAAAAACAAATACATTCAGGGTAGTTTTGGTTGCACCAACCAATACCGGTACCGCAGTTAGAGCAGGGTGAACCTGTCTGTGCCATAATCCTTGTCCAGCCGGGTACTATCGTACTGCGGTGGAAGCACAAACCGCCAATACGACGACTGATTAACATCGATCAACATCTTCGCTACTATCGATACTCGATACTATCGTCCTCCTCATTGGAACAGCAACAGTCTCCGATCAGATCCAAGCTCTGATCGACAGGTTGAACAACAACAACAGGCGACAAACTACTGCTGTTCGCGCCACTACTACAAGCGCAACAAGAGGGAAAACCAACAAGCAGCAGCTTGACTCATCTTGTTCGCATGAGCACCCTTGACCCGCTGAATCCCATCAAGAAGAGAGATTGTAATCCCTCAAAAAGCACTCGGACTGCATGCAATTGAACCTGATCGATGTTGGCGAGGGAGACATGTGCCAATTGACCCAACCTCGTCGACAAATTTGCCTCTTGGAGCGACGCCAATGGCCCGGCTTGTGTGAGTCCTGGGTCTCGAATTTGATGCTGATCAAGGAAGTAGGTTGAGGTTGGCATTAATCAACCATTGGTTCAAAACTAAATGAGCCATGGTGCGAAAATTTCCAGCGCCAACCAAGCCTGCTCCAAGAAAGCGATGATCCTTTCGCTGCTTTCTGCGAGACAAGAAAGAAGAGCAGCGAATGTGAGAAAGAAGCGCAATGGAAGTCTCCTCTAGCAGTCTCTCTTGTGTGCAAGACTCTTGAGGTTTCTTACCGGCTGCCATTTTCTTTTGTTTCACCTGTCAAGAGTGCCTCGCACCCAGTTAGACCGCTCAAACAACCAACAACAACAACAACAACACAACAACAACAACAACAACCAAGCAACAACAACACAAACAACACAAAACAACAACACAACACAACAACAACAACAACAACAACAACAACAACAACACAAACAACAACAACACAACAACAACAACAACAACAACAACAACAACAACACAACAACAACACAACAACAACAACAACAACAACAACAAACAACAACAACAACAACAACAACAACAACAACAACAACAACAACAACACAACAACAAACAACAACAACAACCAACAACAACAACAACAACAACAACAAACAACAACAACAACAACAACAACACAACAACAACAACAACAGCATCAAACAACAACAAGCGGCAGGTCACAGTTCGGCTCCCCAACTACTTACTGCTTTCGCCTTTCGGGCTAATGACTTCTGATCTTCTTTGCTGGGATCAATGTCAAAGCGGACAGTCCGGCGATT